AATATATCCGGATTATTCCACGATTGTCAAATCTCTCTCCGAACCAATGGGTCTTAAACGCCAAACCTACAAAAAAGCTCAAGAGGCGGCGAGAAAAGATATTGAACGAGCCTTTGGGGTCTTGAAGGCTAAGTGGCACATTCTTGATCGTCCGTCGAAATGTTATTCTCAGACAAAAATGAGGAATATCATGTACGCATGTATTATTCTTCATAATATGATCATAGAGGATAACGGGTCTGCGATTTGTCAATACAACCCGGACGAGGAGGTGCCTATGTACGAAGAAATCACCGAAGAAAAGAAACGACGCAACCGCCAAGAAATTCGAAGCCGAGAGATTCACAATGCACTAACGGCGGATTTGATCGAGCATATCTTTAGTCGTTCGAATAATTAGTGATTTCTTTGTACTGTTATTTTTTTATGTAATTTTTTTTAATGAATGTAATTTTTTTAATGTTTTTTTATGAATGTAAGATTTTTTTATAATGAATTTAATTTTTTTATGCAATAGTGTCATTGCGATTAATTAAAATAATAAATTAATTTAAATTTATAAATTTAAATTTAGAAGATGTATATTTAAAAATGTAAAAAATGAAGGTTTGAAGCCCTAGTTTGAAGCCCCGGGGCTTCAAAACCATTTCCAGTGAATTTTGGGTGTAAGTTAAAGCTGACGTGGCAGAGAGAGAAAGTTTGAAGCCCCGGGGCTTCATGACCATTACCAGTGCTCTAATATATGTTTATATTTGGACATTTTAATTTATGATAATTAAGTTTGTCAAATATAATATATATGTATGTATAATCACACACACACACACACACACATATATATATACATATATATATATACATATATATATATATATATATATATATATATATATATATATATGCCTTCTTTAGTTTTTATTTGTCTATTTTTGGCACTTTGTATCTTCTTTTGTCTCTTTTACCTTCGGGGTTTCGGTATAGTCCCCCCGACCGTGATCTCTCTTGTACTCCCTCCCCCCGTCTTAATACAATTAGGTAAGAGTTCCCCGGCTCTACCACACCGATTTTGGTGCTTCTCTCTGGGAATATATATATATATATATATATCTATGTATTTATATATGTATTTCAAATATATATATAAATAAAATGTTATATTATTTATTTTGTGTTAATCATATGATAATTAAAGTTCACAAAATAAATTGGAAGTTTCCAAATGATAGCATCAAAAATCATAATTGTATTAGGAGAAGAATTTATTTTCTTTCCTAAGTGTTAAAAGGTAGATACCAATAGGATTAGGAAACTAACGCTATGTTTGGTTGGAGGTAGGTAAAAGTTTTATTAGGTAGGTAATGGTAGGTAATTAAAGGTAGGTAAAGTAAGGTAATGAGTTAAAAAAATGTGTTTGGATGTTTATTAGGTAACGTGAGGTATGGAAAGAATAAAATTACTAAAATATCCTTGTGGTTGTTTATCTTTTATTTGTTTAGGATATATTTATATGAAAAAAAGAGTAAAATGAAAACTGAAAAAAATGGACACAAAAAAACGAAAACTGAAAATAAAAGTGAAAAAAAAGTGAAGGAAAGCTTAAACTGAAAATTGAGCATAAACTGGAAAATGAAAGCAAAATTGAAGGAAGCAAAAAAACTGGAGTAAAATTAAAAATCTGTGCAGAATGAAATTTGTGAAGTAAACACAAAGTAAAGACAGTCTTAAGAAGTACTGAAACATGGCTGGATTTTTAAACAATCTGCTTGTCTCATCATGTAAATTCTCAAAAGAAGAACAATTAATTCAAAGGCAGGCGATGGTGATGTGAAAAAATTGAACAAAAAAAATTGAAGGAAGCAAAAGCAGAACGACGCACGCAAAGCAGAGCATAACGAAAAAAATTTGAAAATTGAAGTGAAAAAATCGGAAAACCTGTGTTGTTGGAGATGACGATCGGAAGACGAGTATGGCGATGTGAAGATAGGCGATTGGTTTTCTATCGGGAACACGACGATCCGGAGTGAAGGATAGCTGCGGAAAAAGAGTATATTACCTAGATATTTCGCCAATTTGGCGGTAGCGCACTGTTCATAGATAACCCTCCCTCCCTCTACCTTCCCCTACCTCTCTTTACCTATCTCTATTTTTGTTAACAAACAAGGTAGAATATTAAATCTACATCACCTCTCCTTACCTCCAAACAAACACAGTGTAATTAATAATTAAGAATTTAAGAGATCATCCCTTTCCTTTTAAGGATGAGAATTTCGGCCATCACAATAAGAGGAAGAAAAAATTGTTTTCTCTCTTACTCCAATATGATAATTAAGCTTCCCCCAACTATTTGTACCTCTTTGTGTTACGGATGTGAAGAATATTATACACCGTATGAAGGTGTTACCTTTTAAAAAAATTGAAGCAATAAAAAGTTAGAGTATATAAAAAACCGTGTGTCACAATCAGAAGCTTGAACTTAAGCTTGAATTAGTATCTTGATAAGTGTAAACTTAAAAAAAAGTGTTTTTGTAACATTTACCCTTGAACTTTCCAAAAGTTTTACAAATTCTCCTTGTATTTTAAAAATTGTTCCGAAGGTTTTTGAACTTTTAAAAATGTTGCATCAATGATTTCCCTGTACTAGGTTTAGGAATGTGTCAATCACACGCTATTCTAGTACAAATGTGTAGGGGTGGGCACGGATTGGGACGGTCCGGTTTTAGGTTGTCCCACGTCTTGTCCCGTTATATATAAACGGTTCGGAACGGTTCGGATTACAACCTTATCCCGATTTGTCCCATAAAATTTGGGATCGGAATAAAACGGGACGGATTCGGGTCATCCTATTTTGTCCTTAATCGCAAATATAAGAAGTGAGAGAGAGTGACATTTCATTCAAAAAAAGAAACATGTAGCCATCCAACAAAAACCAATGAGTGGAACGGGTCTAAATAAATTTCAAGCCTACGAAGTTAACTTAATTAAATAACTAATTATTTAAGGAATGTGTGTATTTGGATTTTGGACTAGAATTAGTATTATATATTAGTAGAGTAGATGAAACGGGACAAACGGGACGGATCGGTATAAATTTTAGTTGTCCCGCTTATGTCCCATTTGATATTGGGACGGAACGGGTTCGGGATAAAAAAAATGTGTCCCGATATATCGGTACAATTACAAAACGGAACCGGAATTTTTCGGAACGGTCCAACGGGAACGGATTTCATGCTCACCCCTACAAATGTGTATTAATCTAAACTCATATATCACACGTAAATTCTGCAATATGTTTTAAAAAGAGTAAATTCCATAAATGTCCCCAGTTATAGATCGTTTTACATATTTAGTCCCTACATATCAAATATTACTATTTACTAATTTAGTCCCCAATTATTATATCATTTTTCACGAATGGTTCTTTGTTAATGTTTTTGTTAAGAAAATGGATAAAATTGTATATTCATACTTTTCTCTCTCCTCAATTACGCTTTCTCCCTCCTCTCATACTCTTTCCCAAATTCGTCACTGAGTTTCAAGCTCTAAACCCAAAACTGAAATGATCATTCTTCTCTCAATTATTAGTCTTCCTAATGAAACCTAAAATCAAAACTAATAAGCTTTGTGGATGAGTTTTATCGGTTAGTCTCAAGAAATTACAAAGAAAATAAACATTGAAATGCATCCATGAAGGTTACTAGTTTCGAATTTGGGTTCTACCAGTTAGAAAAACAACTGAGAGAAGGGTGATGATTCCAGTTTTGGGTTCAAAGCTTCAAACTCAGCGACAGGTTTAGGAAAGGAGTGTGAGGGGATGGAGGAAGCTTAATTGAGGAGAGAAAAGAGTGTGGATTTATAATTTTATCCACGTTCTTAATGAAAATGTTAACAAAGGACCATTCGTGGAAATGAATATAATAATTAGGGACTAAATTAGTAATATTTGATATGTATGGACTAAATATGTAAAACGACTTATAACGGGGAACCCTTTATGTAATTTACTCTTTTAACAATTATATTCTATAGTTTTAATCTCTTGGATGTCTAATAACTATTCTCGTTTTAATCATCTATAACAGTATAACGGACTCATTACTTTATGTACTCATTTAGTCATTAAAAATGCGGAGTACATAAAAATGATCCACGCATGATAACAAAAAAAGATCCATACATGATAAATGAGACAAAAAAGAAAAAAAAAAAAGTATATAACCAAAACCGTATTCAATAACTATATTTTTTTAAATTAATCTTCAAAATTAACTAATTTTCAAGATAGTACTCGTTGATAGAAAATAATGTTCAATTCAATTTCCCGACTAACGACCATTAAAACGAAGTTAAACTTTATACTACTCCGTATTTTCTAAAACGGTACTTTCTAACCGTGTGTTTTTTCAAATGGGTCCATTTTCAAAATAAAAATACACTAATTATGAAAAAATACTTTAAATTCTATAGGATGATAAAATAATACTTAAAATTATTAATATAATTTTATAAGTTTAAAAACAAATATTTTTTATTATTTATAATTATTCAGAAGAATAACATGTAAATAAAATGTTTAATAATCATTAAAGAAATTACCCTACATAGAAGTAAAACATAGAGTAAGTACCAAAACAGGAGCTCTTTCTCTATGTTTTACTCCCATTTAGAGTGATTTTTCAACGTTTATTAAATATTTTGTTTACGTGATATTTTTTTAAATAATTGTAAATAATCTAAAATATTACTTTCAAATTTATAAAATTATATTTATAGTTTTAGCGTTACATTATCATCCTGTAAAATTTAAAATATTTTCCCATAATTAATGTATTTTTATTTTGAAAATGGATCAATTTAACTAAACACCCGGTTATAAAGTATCATTTTGAGAAAATAATGTAAGGATTAACATATTTTTAATTCCGTTTTAATGGCCGTTAGTTAGGGGGATTTGAGTTGAGCATTATTCTTAACTACCGAGTACCATTTCGAGAATTAGTTAGCTTTGAGGACTAATTTTTGAAAATTTATTAAAAAAATGATAAATGAGATAAATAAAAGAGGACGAAGCTAAGGAAGGGTGCGTTTCTTGCTTGAACTTCCGAAGTACAATAAAAAGGCCTTTTTATCAGAACCTGAGTGACCTACTACTGAATGCCTTCCATAACTTGGGTTCCTTTTGATCCTCGTTGTTCTTCTTCCTCTTGGCGAGGAATGGTTTCAGCAGTAGTTTCTTCACCGCCTTAGGCAAACCGGAACAAGGACGGGGGCGCTTCCCCTTCTCCGCCGGGGGCGCCGCCACCCGATCAGAAAAGCTCCTGCCTAGAATCGCCCTGTTCAATTGCACCTCGAAGGTCAGCCTCTCGTACTGGTCTAACAGAGTGCTCTGTTCATCTCCAAACCTCTTTACAACTCTTGCCATCTCATTCTCGTCCATTATCGACCGTGCACCCATTTCGACCTCAATATTACTACTCCCTATTGTTACGTACTTATAGCCTAAGGGGTCGGAATTCTTATTGAAGTTTTCTTTTCTCTTTCTTTCTTTCTTTTTCCAGTGGCTTGAAGAACACAAGAGAATTGAAGAGAGTTTCTAGAGAAGCCAGTGATGTATTAAAATTATTATTCTGGGAGATTGAGTGAAGTAATGAGGAAAATGCAATTCTTTGGGTTAGAATCAGAATCCCATTTATGAAAACTGTAAAGGCTGCAAAGATAATGGGCGATGGAATAGCGCGACTTGTTGTATATTTGAAATTTTAATTTCAAACGTAAGCCCAGTCTAAAGCTAATAATTAATGTATTTCCAACCATTAATGCAACTAGTTGTTGCCCTAACAAACCATCAATTCTTCTGGATTGCACTCTATTTACTCCTCCCTCTTCGGCACACAACTTCTTCGATACTCCTTTTGAAATCTTTCTTTCTGTTTTATTTTTCATGATCTCCAATACAATATTTTGACCATTAATATTTATATTTACATGTAAACGTAAGTTATTTCAAAATAAATTTATTGATATTAAAATTCATATCACAATTCAATGTACTTTTTCGTAATTTATAGTCAAAATTTAAAAAAATTAATCACAAGGAATCTAAACGAGAGTAAAAATACGGACGGAGGGAGTAATTTTGGGGCATAATTTGCAATGGAATGAAAGATACAAGGATTTGGACATGAATTAACTCCTAAAAATCTTATTAGAATTTGGAACACTAATCTTCTTTGGATTATACACCTAAAGAAAATTAATTATTGACATTGCAGAGAAAGAACACTAATCATATTGTGGCTAGAAGACTATGAAGGCCGGTAATCTTTGTTTCCAATGTAGACCCAGATGAATGAGATGTTAAAAAGGTTATGACGAGGCAGAGTTTCGCATTCGTGCAATATATTCATATGAGGGAGTAAGTTTTCCTCCATGGGCAATAAAAGCCCGTCTCAAATGTGCAGGCAATTCTGAAATCTCCTGCATTGAAACTAAATCGCCAACGAATCCACGAAGAATGCCACTAAAGTAATGGGATGCCTGTTTACAATTTTAGGTTTATGATATGTGTCAGCTTTAAAATGTAGCATTTCTATGAATCATGAAAAAAACAAATGATTTTTTATTTCAAAATTAATTAAGTAATCGACTTTGTATTAAATGGGATATTATGGTCTCAATCCAATCTTGGTCAGGAGTCTTAATTACGAAAATATATTGAGATGAAGTGCCTGAAGATGTACGATACCTCTTTTGTCAACTCCGTTGGAAAATTGTCAACAACTGAGCATATAACTCCATTTCCTTCTATGTCATGATGGTATGAATCATTCAATGGATCGTATCTGAAACCCGCGACCATTAACCAACAATCAAGAAAGAATTACTGCAGAGATTACACCTGGAAAAAATCAGCTAGAAAACTGTTAACAGTAATATCAGATCAGATGAAACCAACACCTGAAGAAGGGGGAGTCAAATGATGTGGTCTGGTTGACAATCTCGATGGAGCCTCTGATGTCGCAAGTCAGATCACTTATAGCAACAATTGGAGATCCCTTTCTTGCCAGATCTTGAAGTTGCAAGGTGCTCAATAATCGTGGAAAATGTTTTTCCCAGTACATGCAGTTAACTGTTTGTTTGAAGAACATACGGAATATTTCTTTAAGAGAGAATAGCCCATGATGCATCACAAAATGAATTTTTGGGAAAGAACATTTATGTAGAGTATTTTAAAGTGATGTTTAATAATTACATCGTGTCCACAATATTTCTGTACCTACATAAATAATGAAATGTGATGAATTCAAGTCCTACCAAATTGAGTTAGAAAGAGAGCCAAATGTCCTTATAGAAAGAAATATATATAGAACTTGTTACAATTAGTGAAAACACAAGGGAAAATGAACATTAGTAATAACTCCCTCTGTCCCAAAAAGAAAGCCATAGTTCACTATTTAAAAATCATGGGAACTTTTGTTTATTTGTACGTTTTCATGGATTATTTGATAAAATAAAATATTCTTGTCCCATCTAGTTTTGAAGAACTTTTGACGTAGTATTTAAATATGTATATTTAATTTTTTAAATTTTATAAAAATATTTAAATATATGAATTGAAAAAAATTTGAAATTTCACATCATTTTAGACAAGGTTTTGAAAAGCGAAAACTAGCCTCGAGGCGGTGGAGCAAAATGCCTTGAGGCGTAAGCCTCGAGGCGGAACGAGGCGTAAGCCTTAGTTCAATATGAAAAAATTAATACTAAAATATGTACAACGAGGTAAAACAAAATGCATAATCCATTTTCATGTTAAATAAATGATAACATCATAATTCCTGAATTTAACAAAAATGATACCCTATCTTAATTTTTAAAACACAAAAAAATAGAATTATAAAGATTAAACACAGTAACATAAACACAAATGTCTCAAACCCATCTTCAAACCTTATAAATATTAAATATGGACTAAAGTTCACACAAAAAAAGTTACATCATTCTTTGAAGTTTGAACCGAATTTAAAGAGAGAGGGATGTTGGAAAAGAAGGAATCAAAAAAATCAGAAGTTGAAAGAAGAAGATGAAAGAAATAGAAGATAAGCTATTAAATATGAAGTAATTGCCTTAGCAATTACCACAAGAGTGAAGTTGTGCCTCTGAAGTCTGAAGATGGAGAGAAGTACGGTTGAAGATGGAGAGACGAAAGTTGACGCTAAAAGTCTTGGAAAGAAGTGATAATTATCTACTAGGTTTATGAAGTTTTTCTTAAGAAACTTTATAGTGCATTGGCCCAAAAGAATTTTTGTAAAAGAGGCCCAATAGCTTTTTTAAAAAAACCCTTATAATTGTTAAAATTCTTATTAAAAGTGAGGCTTACGCCTCGGTTACGCCTTACCACTTCAGACCGCCTCAACATTGTGAGGCGTACGCCTCAGGCAGGCATCCCTACTGAGGCTTAAGCCTCAGAGACGAAATGCAACTGCCTTACCGCCTCACCGCCTTGGTCGCCTTTTAAAACCATGGTTTCAGATAATGCGACAAACATTTTGGAACACATAGAGTATATAAATTTCTTGAAGTTTTACTTACCAATTACAGATACATATGGAGCTATCTTCTCATGAAAAATAGGATTGTAATTTTCAGGATGTGCGTAGTAGTCACCCTGAAATTCGAAGCAAGAATACTGAATACATAAAAAATTGAAAAGGAAGAGAGCATTGACTTTTGGATAAAAAAACACGGAGTAGATTACTACTCAACTTTATTATTCTATTCATACAATTTTTAACACCGTTAGGAGAAAAAATAACATTATTTACTAACAAAATATGAGGATGTACACCCCCGAAAACTTACAAAATGATAACTTGACACACTATGTACTAACAGCATCCACATCAATGATTTATATTGGTGATACTGTTTGTATGTTAGGGTGCTTGGATTAGGCTAGGTTGTCTAAACTCTAAANGGTAAGGAGTAAAACTGGTGGAGCAAAATGAAAGGTAAATTTCATTATTACCTTGTCAAAGGCTTTAGTAGCATCTTTATGCGCAACCATGTCTTTGCTAGTTATGATGCAACCATATACTTGAAATACTCGGTTTAAAGAAGCTTTATGCCTTGTGATTCCCTGAGACTAGGCAAAAACCATTCCTTATTTGAATACAACAAAGTGATGGTGTTTGTTAAAGATATTTTTACGTTGTATTTTGTTTAAAAAATATAGACCCATTGTCTATATTTTTCACTTTGGAAACAGCCGGGGGTCTCTTTGGAAATAGCCTCTCTACTTTCGAGTAGGGGCAAGGTCTGCGTACACATACCCTCCCCAGACCCTACTCTCTTGTGGGATTTAAGTGGGTTGTTGTTGTTGTTGTTGTTTATATTTTTCACTATTGAATTTAAAATTTAAATCTCATACCATTTTACTATGCACTAAAAATTCTGTGCATTCATTCTTCTTTTTATTATGCACTCTACTTCTACAATATACCTTAAGAAATTTACACCAAGCAAACACGCCAAATGGTTACTAAAACAGAAGCAAAAGATTAGCACGACTAGGAGAAGTTGAAGAATAGGAACTAGATTTGTCTTTAGCTTTGTGTTGTTGCTTTTCTGGGTCAGAGTTCTGGCAATTTGTTCCATCTTCTGTAAGATGGTGTCAATTGAAAATAAAAAATCATAAATGGATTACTCCACAATTTGAAATCTTTCTCGGTTTGATACTTTGATTTTCCATGGGCACCACGCACCAGAATTCGACATGCTGGTGGGTAACATCTTATTTATATGCTCTAGCTACTCTATGATATTCCTAAACTAACTATGATCATTAATACTCAACAAAGTAGATCTGAGACAAACAATTATTAGGTGAATAGTCAATTTAATCTAAGTAGGACAAAGACAAACAATCATATAATGGACTAGGACTAAGTAATAGCAAATTATATAGAGATAGGACAACAATCATAAACCAAAATAGGATTTGCTAATACAGTGGTTTGGGCCTATGCCTTTAGTAAACCAACAACCCATCAATTTCTTCAAATAGACATTTAGCGCGGAACGCAGAATTGCAGAAAAAAGTACAATGATTAGAAATAATATGGCATCAAGCAATGAAATTTAAGCTAATGAAATATAAATCATTCAGATAGTTTTCTACACTGAAGTTTGGCAAAGACAAGAGGAGCTACCTTCTCAAATAAATCCAGAAGCTTGTTTGGCTCAACCATTCTATGAGGAAGAAGCTTAAAGATATCTTGCGCAGCAACAGAAGCTGAAGATTTGATACAATATACATTAGTAATTTAGCATATTCACTGAAGAAATTGTCCAAGTTTTCTTTATTGGTTTTTTAGGTAGGTATATGGTTAGATTTAATAGTATAAGTTACTCATGATAGACAACCAAAATATTGGTACCCAAACACACATAAGAAAATATAGAGAGAGAGAGAGAGAAAAAAAAATTAAAAAAACACGAGAATTTTACATGATTTGGTCTCTCAATTGACCTGCGTCCAAGAACTGCACTAGAATAATGTTACAATTTTCTAACGGGCAAAATTGCTAAAACCCTCTCTCTAACGAACCACAAGCCTTGGGTTACTCCTCTCTAGTTAACTAAGTGTCAGGTTTGTGGTATGAAAATAATAAAGCTATATTTGTAAGTGGTAGACAATTCCTCTCATTACAATTAAGTAATGTGAGGTACACATCTCTTGATATTACTCTTCTAGTTTCCATGGGATTTCGGGAGATAATCCAAAACAAGAAGTCCTCCAGGTATCCAATATGCATATTGTGACCATATTTATAAAAACAAATTGCGTAAAACCTATTCAAAAGGTTAACCAAAATTAGAAATTATACAATATTGTGTTTTAAATAGTTCCATATGACAACAAATACAATAATTTATCAAGAAAATAATAAAACAAAATCATAAATAATACAATATTGTGTTTTAAATAGTACCATTTCCTGCACCAGTGAAAGAAAAGACAATGGGACAGATTCCTGAAGGAAGACCATGAGTTGCTATCTCCTCTGCAACGGAAATCACAGCACTCTTGGCAGAAGCAACACTTGTGTACATATATGCCGACCCCAGGGAAAGAAATGGTGTTGAATATCCAAGATTCAAGTATCCTTTAAAGAGTTTGAATGTTTGAACAATCATAAATTGGAATCAAGCTTGCATTCAGTTCTCATAAATGAATTGAAATGTGCTAAACTGGAGCTGCCGCGGGTAAAATTAAGTGCTTACGTTTTCCTAATCCACTCAAAATATCAATCATTGCCGCTAAACCAGCAAATTTTCCAAATGCAATTATTCGATTTTTCTGCCCTCCATCAAAACGCTCGTAGTCAAATAAAGATACCCTTTTGGCTAAAATCTACAAAAAAAAACACAGAAAAAGATCTTAAACCAATGAGAAGTCATAATGCATTGGAAAATTAATTGTTTAGTGTCTCAATTTCTGGGTACTTAAGTATAGGTTGCACAGATTTAACAAAAATTTGAGCTGTGCAAGTTGCATGTATGTTACCTCGTCCAAGAGAGGCATGTTTTCCTTCTGAGCCTTGTGGGTGTGTGAAAAGAATGCATAAGCTCTATCAGGTAAAACCATCTCAAGCTGCACCAAAACCACTAACATTAATTTTAATAAATTAAGTTTTAGAGCATAAAATCTTTTGGGGGTCTGAGCCTTGTCAACCTAGAAGTTGCAAGTTCAATTTTAAGCAAGAGACAGGGAATGGACATGGAGGAGCCTTATAACACTCTTAAAATGAAACATAAGAGGCCCGTTTGGTTGGGAGGGGGGGGGATATTTCCTAGAAAACTTTGATTTCATTTCTCTCTGTTTGGTAGCATAAGTGGTAGGAAAATGTTTTTCTTTCTCCCATCAAGGNCTATCCCGTGCCAAAACTCCAGCCTTATACCACCAGCCCCCATGCTGGTAAAATAATTTAAAATTGTTTTTAAAATATATTTTTAAATATCAATTTGAAATCTTAAGAATTAAAAATGTTTTGTGAGAAAAACAAATTTCCTTCCTACCAAAAATAGAAAATGTGATGGAGGGAAAATAATTTTCTTTAGAAACCATTTTCCCCTTGGAAAATACTTTCCCCTTAACCAAACACACTCAAGGAGTAAATACTTTTTCTCACCTTTGGTTTTTTAATACCCAAGATAAGGCCACACTCTGATAAGTCCTTAGATAGTTCACAGCCAGCTTCTTCATATTCTCCATCATGAAAAATGCGGTTATTGGAGGGTTGTACGATTATACGAGCAACTCCGTTCCCATGTTTGTCTCTGCCTTCAACAAGAAGTCGAGCACAATGTGATGGTGTTAGAGGAGCCCTACGTTCCCACTTGTTGTATGACTCCGCCAAGATTCCAATAACTCCATTTCCCTGCATTTTTTCACTTAAATTCGTGCAACTACTCTACCAGATTTATAGGTGTAATATCTGGAGGAAAATTACAATAGTGACAGCATTGTTTGTGCCTCTTTCTGATTAGTTGTCTAATCAATCTGCTTTAGTAGGCGGATCGGACAATACAAATTTCCCCTCTTGTGTATGCTTAGGTATGCCTAATTTTAGGTTTCTTTCATTACAACTTTTGAATATGTCTGTCTCATTTCATCTCTTTTTTTTTGGGAGGGGGGGGGGGCATTTTTATGCGTGAAAATAAGAACAAATTACATACCGAGTAAGACTAATAATCCAGAAGTAACGATGGAGATCCCAGAGTGAACAATACAGATCCAGGAAAAGGAACCTGCGCCGCTTCCCCTTGACGATCGATCCAAGAAGAAGGCTGAGATTACCAGCGGGAGGCTTTTCCCAGACGCCTACATGGAGACAGTTGGCAACTATGCCGTAATGAACGCCCTAAACTTTAACAGCCCATAAGCCATGCCGTCTCCGGCGGGAACAATTAGCAACAAAACCAGCAAAAACAAAAAGATCTATCACTTGGAGATCGATCTTTTGGTAAAAGAATAAGTGTTGACATAGAAAATTCTCATAAATTCTCACAAGAAATTTTTCCCAAATCATTTATGAACTTACATATCAATTTTAATAACAAATTAAATATACTAGTATTTCACCCGTGCGATGCACGGGAAAATTAGAACTCATAAATTTAAGGGTTGAAGATCTAATATATGCGGAGTAAGATTGTGCATATATTAGAGTGTAATAGCATAAAATATAATACAACGCAAGAATAACTAAATCAAACATAATTGCATATAACATAATACTAATTACTCACATATATCAAGAAATCAATTCAATAAAAAAATCAAATTTATGATTATAGGCTCCAGATATATTTTATACTCCACCATGTACCCTTTCAAGTACAAGGAGATTCTCTTTTTTTGCTACATTATGCATGTGGATAGTTTTAAACCCTTGACTTTTTTTAGAACACTATACATTTTAAAATTTTAAAAATTAAAATTCTGACGTCCTCTATTCAAATGTTAAAATATGTGAAGAGATGATATTGATGAGAGTGATCTGGGACAATTTGAAGTTTGAAAATTAAAAATCTATAGAATTAGCATGGTTCCTTTTAACAATATGTAATACTGTGTCTATTTTATTTGTAAATGAGAGAAGATAGGTACACGCTTCAATACATGCATAGTAGTAGCTGCATACGTACAACACCGAGAGAAATATCATGTGCAAACATCAATTACTACTACAATTTAAAAGATTGATACATGGATGAAATTGGGGATAGTATTTATTGAGCAATATAATGACATAAGAAGTTTTTAGGATGTGTGTATGCAGACCTCGTCCCTACTATGAATAACAGAAGTAGAGGATATTTCCAAGAGACCCTTGACTTGTATCATTGTCATCATCCTAATTAACTTAGAACACCAACCTGGAATCCTTAAAATCCTTCAGTAGTAACCGGGGTTCAACTTCATGAGAGTCCAGAACTTGGCAGGCATAATGCACGAACATTTACTATGAGAAACCTTAACACAGTAACAATAAATCAGTTTAGAAGAGGTTAGACATTAAAATTGCATAACCAATGCTAATTCCAAAACTGGCCTTGAAGATTTTTGTTAAACCATCAAGAAAGGACATCAACATTCAAACCTCCCTATATTTAGTTATAGTCAACCCCACCCAAAAAATAGAAATGACACATCAAACCAAACAACCCTCAAACCAGATCTCCATATCTGTCCTGAGAAAGATAGTCCTTGCCACAAAAACATCAACCTTATTGATTGATGGTAATCATTTTTCCCAGTTTTATATACACAGAATCGTACATACACATTTAAAAAAAGTACAAAAAACCAACACAAAAATGCAAGTTATGGAGAAGCTTACACATAAAGGGGGAGCTGAGAAGAGATTTCGAAGATGGGAACTTTGATTAAGATCTGAAATGACTATAAGTGATTCAATTGCCGTCATCTAGATCCGTCCAGCAGTCCAAGTCGCCAACGCATAACCCATCGCTGGAAGTCATTCTTAAACCTCTAGGTCATTCACTGACCAAATTCAACCTTGCCGGACCTCGGGTTTAAACGTTGGATTCAGTTCAATTCAAAAGCAGAGATTAAGATGAAGATATGTCAAATTCATGACTCTGCTTGCGGCTGATTGAGTTATCCGTTACCATGCTGTATCTTTTGAAGTTCTATGGATGTGGACTGGAAAATTAGAAGATGTGGGGTACATTTACGGTGCAATAGTTTTACTCGGTATTATTCTTGTGCTCAAAAAAGAATAAATCCATAAAGAGTCAACAAAGGAAGAAGCTATGCAAAGGTTATCCTACATAGGCATGTATAAAGAATCAAATAGAACTTTCTGTGTGGTTTGGTTCATGGTCACAGAATTCGCTTTCAGAGCCGCGACTTACGTATTGGTACGATTCGTACCCAATCGCAAGTCGCCTGCGATCCGATCGCAACCGGTACGGCGATCCGAATCGCGATGGTACGGTGATCCAAATCGCGATGGTACGGCGATCCAAATACCCAGGTACATCGCACCCATCACCGGCGGTACGGCGTACCACTGGAGACTTCCCCGACTTCCTCTTCACAGCAAGACGTCGACTTCCTCTTCCCAGAACATCAATAACTGTGCGTATAACTCAGCCAATATCCGACATTTAATATTTGACCACATTGGGTCAATTATGATATCTTCTTCATAAATGTTAAAGGAAGCATATATTTTCTTCTTGGTCTGAACATCATTTGCTGCGACAATACTCTGAATGCAAAACTTTATAGTAGTTTTTTAAAGCATGTCTACTTATGCTTTTAAACAAAAGCATGAAAGAGGTGCTCATTTGTTGCATTTTTAAAAGATAAAGCATTTAATATCAGATATTTTCTGCAAATTCACCATCTAACACTCAAAATCATTAAATTCAAGCAGTTTTGTCATAATTTTTTTTAAAAGATAAAGCATTTCATATAAGATTTTCTGCAATTTCAGCATCTATAAA